GGTATTTATATGGATATTCTATCCCTAATCACCTTCATGAAACTTAGATTAACCAGCACTAGACTCTAATATTCTCCTCATTATATTCATGTTTTTGGAAGATGGAAAAGAAATAATATTTTTGGCATAACCACCACTACTAAGGCGAAACCCTGTGGAGTAGACGATTAGGGCAGGAAGTGCAACGAAATAAGTAAGATTTTTTAGCTGTTATAATAGCTGTTTAAAACTAGCTATAGCAGCGGTTTAAAAACTGCTGCTATTATTCGCTGTGAAAATATCATATTTTTTGTAGTGCACCCTCCTCGTCACAATGGATAAACCATATTCACAATCAACTCTAATGATCAAATTTATATTAGTTCGTAATTGCATTAATTCCCCACTCGAAGATTAATTTTTTTTTACACTTAGGAGCTTGAAGATTAATTTTTTTTACACTTAGGGGCATAAAGAGAGAATTATTAGCTTGCTTATGTTACCGCCAAAATATATAATAAGATGTTCTCTTTTCTAACATTGACCAAAATGAAAAGCTGATATTGGGCATTGCCTTCATTATACATACTTCTTGATAGTAAGTGCTTGATAAGAGATCCAGTAATCCAAAATTTTTAAGAGTTTAAGCCTTCAAAAGTGTAGGTTCTTTCTAAAATTCTTAAAAATAAAAAAAGTATATATTCTACAGTCATCTAAAAGCCCTTAAAGCCATAAGCCTCAAAAGGTATATACTCTTATCCAAAACCTTAGATACATATTTTTCCACTAATCTTAAAACCTAAAAAGGTAAAATTCTTTGAAGGTGTAAATGCTAATTCGTTTAAAATCCACATATGTATAAACCTTAAAAGGTACAAACTTTTGCTCAAAATTATTGAAGGCTAAAGCCTGAAAAGTTACAAATTTTCTTACCCACCAAAATATTTTTGAAGGCATTAACCATAACAATCATATGCTCTTTCAAAATATTTGAAGGTTTCTCTTTTTCCTTAAAATTCTCAAAAGGCATAGGCCTCTTATGTTAAATCTTTCTCTAATTATGTGAAAACATGAAAGGCATTTGATTTAGAAAACACAAGATTTTTTATTCTTTTGAAAATTTTAGAGGCATAAGCTTTAGAAAGTATGGGGTTTTCTTATTCATCTAAAAAAATGTAAGCCTTATAAAATATGAGCTATTTTATCAAAAAACCTCAGAATACCTAAACACTTAGAAGATATAAATTTTAATTCATTAGAAAATATGAAAAAGCATAAAACCCATAAGATACATGATCTTTGTACAAATAAAGATATAAGAGATTGAGACACTATGACTTCAATTGTGAGGCAATGTCTTCATTATTTCTAAATCAATAATTAAACAAAATATGTTTGATTTTTAATGAGTAATAAATATTTTAAATATTTCTCAAAGGTGTCTAAAGGGCTTAGTTTTGAGAGTAGATAAATTATGATAAATATTTCTAACAATTTGATTATAAATATTAGTTAAGTTTGCATAATAAAATTTGAGGACAAAATACATTTAGGAGTTGATAAATAAAAAGTCTAATTTTAAAGTCAAATATTGAACTACTAAACCTACATGATGAAAACACACTATTTGCTACCATGTATCATAAAAGAATTATGAATGTCTTCTATGGCCTTCAGGATCTTAAACTCTTAATCTTAACTTTCAACAAGTGGTATCATCCCCTTAGAAGTTTAGTATGATATTTAAGAATAAAATTTTTTCCTTAATTATGTTTTCTTTTAAATTATTTCAATGTTGATGAATTTTCTACCCTATGAAATGATCATAGTTTCGCATGAAAGGTTTAGAAGGGAGAAAAAAACTATTATCCATATTACATAATTTTTGAAATTTTTTATGATTTACATAATCACATTAATTCTTTGAAAGTAGAGTTATCAAAAAGTCAACATCGAGATATTAAAAAAATATTTTTTTTTAAGAATGCTAAAATTTTGTTACAAAAAGTTTTGGGGGAAACATACACATGTAAGTAATTATCTAAGAAAACAATTGGTCAAAAGTTGTAAAATAAGTGTAATAACCTAAAATATAATCTCACTAAAATTCTCATAAACTTGAAAGTTTTAGTGAATGAGTACTACGACACTGCACTTGTGGATACTGTTGTGCCAAGCTCTTAAGCTTATAAGGGTTTGTGTGAGTGTTGTGTTGCTAAGTTTTAATTTTTATTTTTAAATAAAAATATCTAAAACCATTATATTAAAAGCCTCGCCACATAAACCCCTCCCCCATTTTCTCTTTGCATGTTGGGTGAGAGAAGAAGAGGGAAAGGAGAGTGGAGAGAGGAGAGAGGAGAGAGGAGAGAAAAACTAGGGATCGGGCTAGCATTTTTCATCACTCTAGTTGTAAAGATTGCTATGATCATGTTAAGTAACCTTAGCCCTATCTTTATTTCTTATTATTTTGAGTTTTATTTATTTTTAATTCTCCCCTGAAATTAATAAAAATACAATATCTTCCATTCTATTGAACTTTGACTATATAAATTTAATTTGATATGTGATAGAAATCATTAACCTATATATTTTGATAAGTTCATATTAAATATCACTAATTATTTTTGAATTTATATCATTTTAGTTTGAAATGAACATAATAATACAACGTAAAAATTAATCTGGAGCGAGATTGTACTATATTTAGTAATGAAATGCATGGCATACATAAATTTAATCATTTGGTTTGACATGCATTATGACATAATACTTGCATATTGATGAGAATAAAGATAGTTGCATTAGGTGTACATGATATTCACTATTATAATCTATATGATATATTATGTGTGTGAAAGCAAAAAAAAGCTAACTAGAATTGATTGATTGGTATAGGTTGACTAGAGATATATTATATAATAAAGTAAGGTGGGTTGATGTATTTTCCTATAAATAATTAGATTTATGATATAATCATGTGATATGAAAAGGAAGTTATAAGGAGATTGATTAATATGATATGATATGTTGATTGACATGAAGTGATAACTTCTTACATGAAAGTTATCTAACTTATGACAAATGATATGAGACTAATTCCTGGTAATATGAATGATATGATTGAGACATATTTCTATTAAGTATGAAGGGCTTATAGAACTTAATATGAGAAAAATATCATAGGTAGTCAAATGTCCTATCTTGCTTATATATGCATATAATTAACATGAACATATCTGATAAATGCATAAGTGATATGGTATAATGATGATAAAATATGATATGCATATGATACATGACATAATTGAAATAGGCATATAACAAGATTTATAAGTTTGATATGATTTATACTATGATATGTAGGAAATACATGATATACTTGATATGTTGCATTTGATAGAGAACATAAACATGTATTAATACTATATGATATACATTGAACATATGTAAAATACTTAATATGAAAGATAGACTATTAATATATATATATATATATTGAAATAAAGTATAATCTGTAGACATACATCGATTCATGATAGGACAACTATGTTATATTGGACATGAGTATAGGAATGACAACATCCTAATCTTTTATATGATTATTAATAACTGATTATAAGTTATATTTCTTGTAATGATTTCTATTACACATATGAAATGATCTTATTCATATTGACTGCTACGGACTTCCTCTTACTACTACATATTTATACTAAAATGGATTGAATAAGTACATATATATTATTTCTAATGTCGTGCGGCAATGATTACATTTATAGGTTATAGTACCATATTGAGCTATTAACTCACTCCATGATTTTTATATATTTTAGGAAGGGGTCAAAATCTAGTGGAGTGAGGCTAATAAGGATTTCAAGGTTTAGATTTTCTAGGATATATAAAATTTTGAATATTGATTTTTTTTTTAAAAAAAAATATTTAGGGAATTTATTATCATCTCAACATCTCCACACCAAGGAATCCTTGTTGCATTAATTATTATCTTTCGCATAGGCTACAAAATTTGAGGACAATTACTCATTCTCACATTTAATAACCTTATAAGAGGAATATTTTAGCCTTATCAAAGTAGTTGTAAATCTTAGGTATCACTCATAACTTGGTTGATGCATGATAGCTCGGGACTCATTATAGAGAAGCACTAGTGCTTGTTATGGTAAATTTGCATCACCAAAGTAGGATTGTATCAAACCTCCTAATATAGGAGTATCCGAGCCTAAGGATAGCTAGCGAAATGCACATATGTGATATAGAATAATATTTAACAACTTGAAAAGAAAGAATTAGAGCATACAAATGGGGAATCATGAAGTATAAGTTTTTCCCCTCACTATTAGAGGCATTTATAGGTTGAAGGGAGGATGATGAGATACGCGTTTTTCTTGTAAATTTCATTTCTTTGAATATTTATAAAAGTTTTTCACATATATATGGAGGAAATTATATTTTCCTCTTGATTTTTTCACCATTGGATCTTTGATTTAAGGATAAAAGCTTATTCTAAGATATCTCATATCTTCTTCCACGATAACATTTTTAGTCCTCAAGTTCTTGCTCAATCTTGCACTAGCCATCCTCCTCCGCATTCCTTCCCAACTAGTTCTCACATATAGCAACTTAAACTTTTCCATCTCTCCATTCACAAACTTCCCCCTAGAACCTTGGTTTTGAAGTGATGCATGAGGTTGGAGGTAATCGACACTGATAAATCCATTGTGGCTCAATAAACAAGGAAGGCATCAGTGATCAAGATGGCTCAATGATCGTGTTCAATAAGAAAATCATAACTAATCTTAGCTTAACCGTTTGGAAATCCGACTTTGCTATCGAGCCTAGGGATTTGAAGGCTTTATATGAACATAATTTGCTCAAAGTCCTAAAAACAATCAACAAAATAATGTAAAAATACATAGTGCATTGAAATGCTCAAATTTATTGATTATTTTTATTGATATCATATTCAAAATTAAGGAGAATAAAACATTAAACAAAATAATACTAAAAAAATCATTTGAATCGTAATTTAAATAACATTTCTCAGTAAATTATTCTTATACACACACAAGAAGATGAACGAATTTTCATGCACATTCTTCTACATGGCACGCAGACCATTTCTTCCTTGGTCAGAAACAGTATCGAACCCTAGTACTCCTCAGGTCTTCACCTCTTACTAAAAATGCCATCTATACTCACTCTCCTCTTCAAAATTAAAACTAAGATGCAGTACAGGGGTCGATAAGGTCCATTACATAGCACCAAAATCTTTGATCAACAAATCTAACTAAAAATTAACTAAAAAGCAAGCAAAAAAACTACCTTGGCTCCCATACGTACATAACCATTCAATCGCCATTATCGCCGTCAAGCCTTGCAAAAATAGTAGCAATGATTCTATCCCGTCGCTCGGCTCTGACCTCCTGCCTTGCCCACCGCTCTTCTTCTCTTTCTCGCCATCTCTTCTCCATAGCCGCCCGCTCTTCATGAATCCCCTCCATCACCCTCCGCAACTCGAACTGGGCCTCACGCCTCTCGGCATCTCTCCTCTCTGCAGCCTGCAACCACCTCTCTTCCCTCTCCCTTTGCCTCCTCGCCAGCTCCTTTAATGCCCACGACACTTCTTCAAGTATCCTTCCTCTTTCTTCTCCTTCATTTCTACCACTTTTCCTTTTCCTTTTCTTCTTCATTCTTCCGTCATCATCATCTTCTTCTTCCTGCTTCTCCTCGACTTCTTCCGGATCCAATACTCCCTTCTCCTTCTCCAAGCTGTGAAGCCTTTGCACCCTTCTCGAGAATATATTTTTCATTTCCTCATAGTAAGGGAACGTCTGCCTACTCCTCTCATCGTCCATTGCCTCGCTTCCCTGTCAAAGTGTAAAAGCACCGCATTGCATAACCAGAGGAGACAGAAAGTGGGTGAAATAAATAGATTCGACTCAAGATAGTGGCACGATTGCTCTCATTTGTAGATTGCAGATGCTTCGATAAACATAGGAGTGTGGCTCACGCAACCGAAAAAAGAATAAATAAAAACAAAAGAGAGTAAAAGAGGACCTTGAAGCGTGTGAGAAGGTTCTTCCACTTAGACTTGCATTGTTCGGGGGTGCGATAGAAGCCCTTACTAAGCATGCGTGATGAGATTTCTTCCCAAAGACGCTTATTGCGTTTAGTCTCAGCAAAGCACTGATCGAGCTCAGCTCGGACGGAGAGGAACTCCCGGGTCTCCGCCGGACTCCACTGTGGTAGCCTCTCGCCTCCGCCGCCGCTGGAGGCGGCAACGTCGACACCTGCGAGATCTTGTTCTTGATGATGCAAGTGATATTCCATGGATTGAAGAGGCGTTAGAGATCTTATAATGGAGAGGAGAAAAAGGTAAAAGCGGAGAAAGGATAAAAAAAAAAAATAGAAAGAGAAATAGAGTTTCAATCGGAAATCGCAGTTCTTCATCTCTATCTGTCAACGCGGAAACGGCTTGTTTTCCCATTGCTTTTTCGGCGCATGCATGCGTTCGGTTTTCGTCATGCTTACGCATATGGGAAAAAAACGTCAGTACATAAAAAATATTAAATATATATAAATATCGCATATCAATAAAAAATAATGATTTTTTTTATTAATATGAATTTATATCGATTATTTTTTATTTAAAAAATTAAATATCTTTTAATCATTCAATTTCTATCTTTGTATAGTTATCTTGTCGCAATTCCTACGCGTTTAGATTTGGGTATTCCGGGTCGTGACTTGTTCACTAAGCATCCTGCCCATATGCGGCCATTCCAGAACACATCCTGGTTTGTATCATGGCAAACGTCAGCTTGTAGCCCGTAAATCGGGTGGTCGGGTCAGGCCTGCCTTGGATCGGCCCGATTTTCCGGGTAGATGATGTAGACTGCCATACGGCTCAAAGATTCATTCACACAAGAATGGCTTGGACGGTTGGCCCTGTAAAAAGTTTTGCTCTGATAGCCTGAAGAATAGTGGTGTGAGTGATTTTGATATGACAATTAAATTGAAAACATTCTAAACTAAATTAAGTAACTTTTTAATGAGACTAACCTAAAAATATCAAAAGTTTGAGTCCAAATGAATCTAAATTAAGCACTTAAAATATAATAATTTTTTTTATAATATTAAGGGATTGTTTGATTTGTTGAAAAAAGAATGCAAGATTAAACAAAATTTTGGTGTTCGTTTTGATTAGAAAGGATTGTAGTATAAAATTTCAATGAATTTCTTGTATGCCCCCCTTGTTCACTTTTGATATATTGTAAGCTCACTCAGTTTTTATGATTTTATTTTATTTACAATCCAATTATTCTTCCACCATCATCCACATGCCAACCACCGCTAATTAATAGCTAGCCACCTTTGGCAATCGCTACTTGTCCATTGTTAACCACTACAAACCTCTAGTTAATAGCTAGCTAGCCACCTTTGGCAACCGCTACTCATCAATTGTTAACCATCACCGGTCTTCATTGGCTACCACCACTGCTGGTGGCCTCCACTTCTGCCAATTGCCAATAGACTAATGATCCCAACCCAACGTTTGTTAGTGACTGCCATCACTTGCCAACGACCACCCCTACAACCGTCTATGACTGACACCAATCATCGGCTCAATTCACTTCCCACCTGCTAGTAACTGGCATCATTTTACTACACTTGCATTTATTTTACATCAAGATAAAAAAGAAAAGTTTAACAACCCAAATTCTTAACTAACGTAGTTTTTTTTTTTTTTTCATGATAACCTCACGATTTTATCGCATTTTGTATAGAAAAAAATCTTAAAAAATGGAAAAAAAATTTTAAGGAGTTTGCAGCACCACAACGTCTGATGAAACAAATATGTTGTGCCAACTTCAAACTGTCAAGGCGCCTTAAATCCTACATTATGGCACCAAGTTCTCTAATTACTAGTGCTACAGCAGTAACAAAGCTAGTATCGTAGCATTACTAGCACCATATCATTAAAAAGTTAGCTTGACAGTTTAGGATTCTTTGTTTTCAAATACCAATGTACCACAATTTCTCACATCTTGACATCATTTTTGCCACTCGAGTGCCGCAATGCTCAAAGGTCAACATTGACATGACACTCTGGTTGTAACATTGAAGTCCCACGTTCTATCAGTAAAAAGACACAACTATTCACTAAGTACCCAATCCACAACAGGCATCATGGTAGTTCAAAAGTTTCAATGCCAAGACATTAGTTCACTTTAATGGTGTCATGACGTAACTCTTTTAAGTGCCATAGTGATAGATGCCTTTTGTGTTATCCTATGAATATTTATGCTGTTATGTTTATAAGGGATGTTAGTCACTTGTGTAAAATTTTATATTTCGTAGAGTACTTCTCTATCACTTAGAGTAAAATTTATGTAAGGCTAAAGAAGTACAATATACAATCATTTGGATTGTTTACCTTGTATTTCTTGAATCAACTCTTTAAGTTAAGAGAGGGGTGTACATGAGATATTTTGGTCCTTTTTAGTGATATCACTCTCTTGCGTTTTTATTTTTTCATGAGTTTAATAAAAATGAGTTTGCTTGTTACTTATTTTGTGTCTAGCTAATTCTCTAATTTCGGATTGATGATATATATAAAGTGCATGTTAATTATTAATAAAAACCCTTATTCTATAAATGTCAAATAATATTCTTTAATATTATCTCGTTCTTAATTTAATACATATAGTGGATATATGTGTAGTTAAAATATAATATGATGCATAGCTTCGACGGAGGAATGCAAGAACAATCACGAATATTGTGAGATGATATTTGCATGCCTAGGCATAGGATATAAAATATTATAAGTTCTTAAGAAGATACTATAATTGTAGGAGGTTAGCAAATATCCTTTACACCCATACAAGATCAAAAGAGATCTAGTGATGAATATGCTCTGAATTACATATATAATTAAGAGTCTCTTTAAAAAAGATATGAAATTTACATTCATCAATCCAAAAAATTTTATTTAAATATTTTATCCAATATTTTTTACTATTTTATTCCGTGATAGAATCTCCACAAATATCTTTTTTATTTAAGAAGGATAATTATTATAATTACAATAAATAATAACAGTTTGTTACAAGCATACATTCTAGAAGGTTTGACATTATACTCTATCACTTTATTACTTAATTTGACACGTATCCTTGTGTTTATTAAGTAGGGTTTTAATATTATTTATATCAAATAAAACCTAAGCCTTATTTAGGGGTGATAAAGCCTTAGACTTTTATATAATTCAAAAGTTCACTCCACAACCCCCATAATATTTTTTGCACTATTGCTAGGGAAGTATTTAACTTTTAATAATTTTAAATATATTATTTAATTAATTATATAGTTAAACCTACTTATATCTTTAGTTTTATTTATTTATTGTATATTCATATTTGCATCCTTTATAGATATAGAAAAAACATTTATTGTTTAACTCTGAAATAGAAAGAACTCTTTCAAAAATTTAAAAAACTAAAAATATTATAAAAATGGTTGAAATTGTACTAGATCAAGATCATTCTAATCCTCTTAGGGATTATGCTAACCCTTTAGTTGACAAAATTTTTTACAGAATTAATAGACCTACGATCCAAGCTAATAATTTTAAATAAAACCTTCCAAAATTTAAATGGTTCAAAATTCTCAATATGTGGGAACTTCTATTGAAGATCCCAATTTACACTTAGCAAGATTTTTAGAAATTTATGCAACATTTAAGTACAATAGTGTTAGTAATGATGTTATAGATTTAGATTATTTTCATTTTCTCTAAGAGATAAAGCTAGCTAAAATATGGTTGAATTCCTTACCCTTAGGCTCTATAACCATATGAAATGAGTTGACTTATAAGTTTTCTTGCTAAGTATTTCCTAACTTCAAAGATTACTGAACTTAGAAATGATATCTCTTTTTATTACCCAATTTGAAGGAGAATCAATTTATAAGAGTTGGTAGAGATTTAAGGAAATGCTTTGAAAATACACTCACCATGCTTTTACTGATTTGTTGGTTATTCAAATATTTTATAATGGATTAGTAGGATCTCTTATAACAATCATAGATGCTATAGCTAAAGGAAGATTAATGTTTAAGTCGTTTAAGGAAGCATATGAATTAATAGAGAAAATGACTACTAATAATTTCTAGTGGCCTGCTCTTAGGGTAAATCATAAAAGAGTAGTAGGAATTTATGAATATAATGCTTTGTCAATATTGACTTTATAAGTTTTAGTAATTTCTAAGAAGTTGAGAAAAATAGAAGTGAATACATAATTAGGATTTGAATCATCTATACAAATGAAGGAACAAAACTTAAATGAAAATAGTAATGTGAAAGAGATTAAAAATATTAATTTGATTGGAAGATAAAATAATCCCTACTCCAATACATATAATCTAGGTTGTAGGTATCATCTTAATTTTAATTATCCAAATAATATTGCTGGTAACAATCAATTAAATTCTAGTTAAATCATTAAGGAGTAAATTGGAATTATTCTTAATAACCTTCTAGTTATCCTAGAACTATATATATTCAATGATTCAATCAAAGTAATAAGATTGGAAGCAGAAAATCATAATAGGAAGATATATGGATGTAGTGATGTAGTGATATAGTTAGGAACTCAATTATAAAATTGAGCTACTTTTATTAAAAGATTAGAAACCCAATTAAGTTAGCATCTAATTTAAGTTAGTAATAGATCTTTTGAATCATTGCCTAGCAATACTAAAGTTAATCCAAAGAAAAAATGATTCTAGTGAAAATCATCTAAAGAATGGTAGCATTGTACCTCAGCCAAATTGAGAAATCTATGTAAGTTTGGTTAAAGATTTTAAACTTAGTGTTGTACACCAGGAAACCCAAATTTAGGTTTAGCTAGCCATTAAAGTCAAAAAGTATTTTTCTATCTAGTTAAAAGAATATTATACAATCATAACTTTAATTATGAAACTTTAGTAGGCACCATAGCAATGTTAACTAAAGCCACGATGCCATTACACCTCCAATATTGATTCATTAATAGCGTCATTGTGCTTACACGTGTCACACCGCAAAGGTGGCCAATTCCAAAGCGATGTAACAAATTTCAAAAACCAGGCTGCACTACAATGCCTGTCGAATTTTCCATTTTATCATCTTGTTCATACATTAATAATTGATTCATGAGAGGGGTTTTAGAATCCAAGGCACCCTATCATGCAGATCATTGCGCACGGGGGTTGGGAAAATTTTTATGAAGAGCCCTATGCTGTCATTGTAAATTTGTTCAAAGAAATTTTAGCTAATAAAAGGAGGCAAAGGATAAAAAATGCTATGTTAGGGGTAAGTGGTCCCTTTCAAC